CGATGCATGACTGAAGCCCGGACGTGAGCCTGGCACTTTCAAGTCTATAACCCGTTAACTTCACATTACCTTACACACTTAGAGAATGCCGATGTTGATCGGTTATACATACTGGATAGATCGGTCTCGAACGCCGATGGCTCGCGAGCCGATAGTCTTCGCTCAGGATGGGTAACGTAAAGGGCCGCCGACGCGGCTATCCGCAGGCCTGTTAGCGCAAAGGGTCCTATTCGGAGACGAAGCAGATTAAAAATCTGCCTAAAGGTCACTCACCTTGGTCCGCTAACCGGGTTGACCGGGAGCGCGGAATGCTCTGAACTGGGGGCTGCTCAATAGTAGCCATGATAAGATAATGTCCGCAGCGCGTTGCAGGAAGCAAGGGATTGCAGCGAAGGCAGGCATTCCCGAGAAAGAAAAAGAGGAGAACAGGACAGCAGGGAGGAGAAAAGACCGAGCGATTGGGCGGAAGTGACGGGATAGACTCTAGGAAGGAGGCTCCGGAAGTTTGACGAGAGTATAATATTGCCAGTGACGTAGTTGGTTGCAGAGATCGATCCACGGATGCTACGATCACCCGTAGCTTTAGAGTGGCTTGGCGACGTAAGGCTGAGGAGATGATTCTCACGTTGCTCTAGTCATGACGTCGATTTTAATAGCAGTGTGAGATGAAAGAAGGAAGAAGGTTACATCCCACCGACTGGTGATTCTTCCATCCCGACATTTTAAGAGACAACATTCTTTCGGCTCTTTTCCGTTTCCGTCCACTTCCACCCTGGGGTTTTCTGTTGGTGAGACCCAAATTTTCCCATCACATGACCCGGTTAACAGGTTTCAGTTAGGCTTTTCCTGTTGTCCTTACGAACTGGTGGCTGAGGCTGCACATCTTACTGGTCTTTGATCCTTTGTAAGGTAGATCCCTAGGGCCTAGACCCTCCACCGATGTAATACCGAAAGTACATACATTGATGTACCTCCGTAGTTTGTAGAGTACAGAGTAGATTGTATGTTACCAGATAGAAAAGGAAAGAAAGGAAAGGGGGGAACAATGAACCAGTTCCTATTTCTCAGAGGAAAGACGGGGAAAAAAAAGAAAAAAGAAAGAAAAAAAATTTAAAGAAAGAAAGAAAGAAAGAAAGAAAGAAAGAAAGAAAGAAAAGAAAAGAAAAGAAAAGAAAAGAAAAGAAAAAAGAAAAGGTGGTTATCACTCATGGGGACAAAACCCCCAACACCTAGGATTAAACAACGCGCTTCTAAATAACTAACTCTATACAACCAGTCGCAACATTCAACACAAGAGTATCACCATAGATGCAAAATCTTTAGAAGATCGTGACGTGTGAAGAAAGAACGATTTCGTTTACCAAGGATATCTAATAAACAGGCGTTAGCTCACCATCCTTACACCCGCATGATCAATGAAACTTACACATGGGGATGCTCAAGGCACAAATCCCCATTTGTATACTAGATATGGCCAAGAATGCCGGCTTAATACCGTTCGAGAGCAACCATTCATAAGCGAAAAATGTTAGTATAAAACTAAATATGTTCTTGAATATTAGCATGCATGTGAACGATTCTATCGCAATTTGACCTGTGGTTATCAGCGAGGGCGCTCAAAAATAACCGCAGTAGAAGATGGAAACCACTCACGGTGGGCATCAACGATATACAGCGCACTGGCAACCGCACCCATGACCATCCCTATAATTACCAATGCGAAGAACACATCAACCACAAGCCAACCATATTTGTCCACATCCTGGGCCACTATGCCGAAGCCGTAAAGCCCAGCACCGCTGAAGACTAACTGAAAGATAACGAGGAGAATGCGGAACTCAGGCTCATATCTTCCTTTGTTAAGCTTGATCATGATCTTATTCATAGAGTCAGAAAGTAGGCCCGAGAGGATTAAGCCCAGAATAGAGCCGATAAAAGCGCCTGTGTACAGATATCCGGTTTGGACTTCATTGAACCACAAGGGAGGCCCTAGGAAGATGGCTGCTAGTACCACACCAATGAAGACAGTCCAGCCGATGATTACACCTTGGATTAAGCAAGCCTACGGCTGTCAGGGCCTGGTCTCAAGATATTTTTTCAGCGAGTGCTTACCCAAAGAATTGCAGGGTGAAAGAAAAGCGGAAATGGTCTGAGCAAAAGCTTCAAGAAATTCTCATCCGTTTTGCGCCCGTTAAACGGCTTCAGCATTTTGATATATGAGGTTTTCGCAGGGACAGTCATGTTTAAATTCGTGCCTCGCTCTTGTGATCCAGCCTGGGACTCACTATTAGTGAGCGGCGAAGGGTGCTTTTTCTCACCGGATGTGTGGCCGGCTTCATGTGGATATTCATTGGATTGTTGTTGTAAGCACATCCTATTTTCATTTCTTTGATGTACGATCTGTTTTAAGTCATTGTTTAGATATTCCGGGCGCCTAAATGCTGTCTCAGGGACCAAGAAGAAAGTCAAAGGCAGTGCCGCCGCCGAGAAGATGGCCAGAAGGTAAAATGTCCACTCCCACCCAAGAGAATGAGTAATTTTACCGGCCAGAACCGGTGTAAGAAAAGCGGCCCCAAAGAGAGCAACATTCGATAGTGCCATCCTTTTGCCACGCTCCTACGATGCTTGTTAGGGACAGGCATTGATCATTGGGGGTTTATTCAGACTTACGTGGACATAGTATAAATCACCGACACAAGTATTGACCAAAGCTTCAAAAGGTGCTAGAGCAACTCCTTGGAAGATTCGAGCCCATACCAAACTTGTATAATTGTTGGCGCTTCCACCTGCCCAGCCACAACTTATTACCATTAGGACATTCCCCAGAAGAAAAAGATGGCGTTTCCCCCATACTCGCGCTGTCGGCACGATCAATATCCCAGCAACACCCACACCACAAAGGTGATATCCAGTAAGAAGGGCAACCGAAGTGAAGCTCTTCTTAAAGTGAAGAGATACCGTCACGGTATTGGCAGCCATAAGAGAACTTGTTGTTGCACAAAGAACTGCGACGAAGGAAAGGGCTAGCAGTGTAATATCACGCTTCCATAACGGCCAATTCTGTGGGTTTATCAGTCACTGTACATTTCAAGAGCAACATGTTGCGAGGATCTCTTCATACCAAAGGATCATTGGGATCATCACTCGGTTGAGGAACTAGGAGGATAGGAACCGTACCCGAGCGGTCATATTTCAGGTTAGTGTCAACATCGGTCTGCTCGTTAGAGCTTTCTCTTTCAAGGATATCAGAAGTGCCTAGGTAAAGCCGAAGCCATTAAGTATCTACAGCAGGTACTGAAGGCCGATAGATACTTACCAGGAACCTGGGCAAGTGCAGTGTCTTCTAACACACCTAGCCCCATCCTGACCATGAGAGCAAACAAGACTAAGAGTGCTTGAGATCATCAATATCAGGGTAAATTATTTTATGCCGGGGAATAGACAACGACTACCTAAGAAGGACGAAAAGCTGAATAAGAAATGAACCGAGCTCTACATCAAGCCCAGTTGGTGAGCACAGCTTGTGCCTTGCCCCCTGATTCATGAAACCTTGAGAGATGGGTACGTCAAAGCCTGCCAACACAGGGACTTTGTTCAAAAGCTTACCTACTACGAGTTCAGCATAAACTTCTTTTGAGTGGAAGGTAATTATTCAAATACGTCGGAGCGGGGGGTGGGAAGAAAGGTGGAGGGGGGTTAGGAAATAGAAATAAATAAAAGAAAGATTAAAAATTGGAAGAAAAATATAGCGTACAAGGTGCTAATATGCAGTAATTCAACCTGCAAGGGCCGGCCAATTGAGGTGAGAATCCTAGAAAGTCCATCATTGCTATTTCTCGGTCATGGTCAAGACGATCAGTGTGCGGAGAAGCATCCTGTGATTTATCATTGATCGTCTCGTTCCTGTGGACCACCCACCGAACTTAACTTACCTCATGAGGTCTCTATTATGTATTCTAGTAGGGTCTGTCACTTCAGTTGACGTATCAGTAATTTTCAGGTCGACGATTCACACTCGGCTTTCGCAATTTTATACCTGTAGAAATTAAGGCGTTTCTTAACCTTCTACTGGAAGGAAAAGGTATGGAATTAGCCATAGGACTGGGTGACTGGCATGCTTTGAGACCACTGAAATATTTACACCCAATGTTCCACTTTCTAACTCGGTTATTATGTATAGCCTAGGTAAACATCTCAATACAGCCTAGAGATACTAGGAAACAACCCCATACCAAATAAGACGTGAGGGGGTGGTATGACCGAGGAATTCGACAGCGTCTGATTGACTCCCGACCCTGCCAAGATCGTCAAAGCGAAATACAGTGGAGAATAAGGCAGTATTCCACGAATGAGGATGTATTAGAGCCGAAGGAGATCTGGGAATAAAGTCCAAAAAGAGGGTATTGTGGATCTGTTTCATTACACTAGGGACGCACTACTGGGAGCTTGTCCAACCTCAAAGAAGATACTATTGGTGAGCGTACTTACATGTATACTACTAGTAGTAACCCGCACCGCGGCACATGCCTCAATTCTCGTCGAGCAATTATTACCCCGGATGACTGAATAGAATCAATGGATATTCTTCATACCACTCGTAAGTACTAGTACTGTATGATTGTTTTTATGGCAACAACCAAGAGAAATATGTGTTACTGTCCATACTTTCACCCCTCCACCTCTCCTTTCCATTGATCAGCCGTATTATATGTAATGAGTGTAGTTAGACTTTCACCAATAACTCTTGGCTCTCAACATGTTAGGCCATGTCATGGAGGCCCATCAATAGGACCTGAGCACTAGTAGTAAAAAAACAAGTATTGTGAGGCAAGGATCTTCAAGTGGAACAGTGAAGACCACCAGTTTCCAGTCACTCTACATATGGTAGGTTTAGCCTAAGCTTATACACTTTTCTTTATGCAGCTGCCACATTGAGCGGGAAATCAGCTTTGCCCTTTGCTCTTGTCGCTGCCCTCTTGATTTCTGACGTCCTTTATCCTTTTCACTCCACTCCCCTCCTATACTTATAATCTTTACTTCACCGTACAGCCCAGAACAATTCATTTGCAAACAGACCATTTCATCTCGCCCTACGTCCCTCCTCTCCCCAAACTATAGGTAGCCAACATGAAGCTGTACTATATCTCTGTCATACTCATGACATGCCTGAGCACTGTTATTGCTCAAGGAATGGACGGCCTCCCAGACTGCGCGGTATATATCCTCATGATTGAAACCTTTGATCACTGCTCCTTAATAAGCTCCTTTTGCTGAGATGCACCCAAGATTGTCTGCTGATAGAACCACAACAGAAAGATTGTGCTACTGGCTCCATTCCCAAGCAGTGCCAGACTATCGATGTTGCCTGTATCTGCGGTGACAAAAGCTTTATCAATAGTATCTCTTGTTGTGTCGCCAATAAATGCTCAAAGGATCAACAAGATGGTAAGTCTTGATTTTGCTGTCGTTTCCTAACACTACGAGTTCAATGCAGAATCAGACGCACGGGGGGATATTCTCTTGCTAACATGGTCTCGCGTAGCTGTTCTCAAATTCGCAAGCCAGCTCTGCAGTGGCGCCGGTGTAAATGACCTCCCCAAGAGTGCTAGCTGCGCTGAGGGAAGTTCAAGCGCTACTGAGACTTCCTCCGATTCTTCTGCCTCCAGCAAGTCGACTACTGCGAAGAGCACGGCTACGAATGAATCGGCTACGACTACGGGTTCTTCCGGCAGTTCTGCATCACCAACCGCTTCCAAATCTGGCAGTAACACCAAGACCTCATCTACCTCATCATCGTCACCTACTACCAGTACTGGCGGAGCTGCCCTTGTACAAGGCAAGGACACTAGCCTCCTTGCTGCTATGGGTGCGGCGGTCTTCGCATTCCTTGCGTAGAGAAGTGAGATGCCGGGCGCCTCTTTCCGGGTACACAGAATGGCAGAGATACCTGACTACATAAAGACAAGTTGGGGAAGTCAAGCAGAGAATCAAGTTTTGTCTACACCCAAGACACCGGGCGAACAAGTGTCTAATTTGTATTTAATATGCTCTACTAAGTCCACATTCTAGTGATCTTCAGCGTCCACCCATGTGTACGCATTGATGAAGTCGAGTGGAATGTGTGTGCTCGTTGTGATTGCTCTCGTTCTCTTTGTAGTAGCAAGTTCAATTTAGGTACTCAGGTACTCCCACACGTTCGCACATTCAAAGGAGCCTACGACAGTTGTTGATCTTGTTCTGCGAATCGAACCGCGATCTCGTGTCGTTCTTCGCGGAGGGTAAGGAAAATCTGCAACAATTAGTTAGACCTGAAAATCATGGTAAGGTGTAGAAGGGATCACGGAACTTACCCAAAGCCAAAACATCATTTCCATAAAGCCATACGTGAATATTACTCTGTTTTTCAACTGGTCCAAGCCAGAGGAGGACTCTTGGCCATACCCACCAACTGTCTGGTGAACATCCACGCCCCAATCCGATGGCTTACTCTGGTATATAAAGAAAGATACCGCAAAGAAAAGGCAAAAGCGTGAAGCAGAGAGCAGTGTCCAAATTTCGGTGTAAAGCGAGGCGAGACGTGCTAAGAATGGATTCGTTCGCATAGCTCCTGCGATGGACGTGGGGGCTGCGGACCGAGCGATTTCTGCCATTGCAATAATTTCATTGATTCGGGGGACCTTTGTGACGAGGATGAGGTCGACGAGGGCATCCGCAACAAGGAGGATACCGCATAGCGCGAAGGGTGACTGAGGACGAGAAAGGGATGGCGCGGCATCCTGAAGTAAATGGCCTGTCAACCTCCGACAAAGAGAACATTTTTAGAGATTAGGCATATAGTTTATTCTTACTATTTGTAAGGTCTCCCCTAGCATAAAAACCACATCGGAGTCCGTGATGACTTCTGGTGACTTGGTGAGGTAGACGGCGAGGATGAACAGACATAAGGCATGTGCCTGAATCAGCGTTTTAGATGACAATAGACCCATCTTGTTGTTTGTGGGCACAGGTTAAAAAATGTGTAGAACAAAACAGAGAGCTGTAAATGAAATAGTGATGGTGTCTGAGTGTCAACTCCGCATGTTCAGTGATATTCGGGGTGAGGTCGAGTCGAGACCCATAGCGCTGCTATGGTTAAATGGGAGTTGTTTATTATTATTATTTTTTTTTTCTTTTCTTTTTTTTTTTTTCCCTCCCTTGGAACCAAGCAAATCATGTGGGGTTAAGTGGGCGGCAGCTGTTAACTCCGATAGTGTCCGCCCACCAAATGAGAAATCGAGATTAAGAAGATGACTGATGGCATGATAACTTGACAAAGTATCTCTGACGCGTATCACGGACAGCTTTCATACTATCTGCGCAAGCTTTATGGCCAGTATCCTGGATCATAACCTATACCTTCACCGCTACAACTATGACCGAAGCTGTTTTTCATAAGGAACGTCATATTAAGTATTTCCTACGATGCCTCAAGACGTTTTTACCGAACTTATATACCTCCAATGACTCGAGCCGCATCCTCCTCGCTTACTTCACCGTTGCAGGCTTGGATCTCCTAGGCGAATTATATAACAAAACCACTCTCGAAGAGCGGCAAGGGTATGTCGAGTGGATCTACCACTGCCAAGTGCCCTCGGGGGGCTTTCGGGGATTCACAGGGACCGACTTTGGGTCAGAACGGCGAACACCAGAAAATGAAGCTTGGGATCCGGCCAACGTTCCCTCGACATTCTTCGCATTGGTGATATTGTTGATCTTGGGTGATGATCTATCACGGGTAAAGCGCACTGAGTGTCTACAATGGCTCTCCAGAATGCAGCGCGAAAACGGGAGCTTTGGCGAGGTCCTCGGCACAGAAGGGAAGATTGAAGGCGGCGGCGATCTACGATTTTGCTGTTTCGGTGCCGGGACGCGATATATACTGAGAGGGAAATGTGGGAATGGCCTTGAGGGTATTATGGATATAGACGTGGATAAATTGGTTGCGTTTATCGAGGCCTGTCAGGTAAGCAATGCCCTTCTTGCACTTTCTGCCACCCCTGTGGATTATGATTTGGCTAAGGAACACTCTAGGCATACGACGGCGGCATAGGAGAGGGGCCCTTCTGTGAATCCCACTGTATGTCCAATTTGCCATATCCCACAACGCAGCGGCTATCCTATATTTATATGCCGTCCTTCTAACTTTCAAGTCGCAGCTGGTCACACCTATTGTGCTATTGGTGCTCTAACATTCTTGGACCGTCTTTCGAAGAACCATAAACCGATCGCGCTGCTTTCGCCCAAAGCTGTCCCCTTCGACTCTTTGGTCAGATGGCTTGTTGCACGACAAACATCTGAGCTCGGCGATGATGAGGAAGAATCTGACGATGAAGATGGCCACGGCGTTGGTGGAGTCAGATCTCTGTCAGCGACAGTTGAGGAGCCCAGTATAGACACGAAAGTCGATCAGCTCCCTGTTGTACCGCCGGAGACGGAGGGTTCATTGCGATGGGCAGGATTCAACGGGCGGTGTAACAAATACGCCGATACTTGCTATTCTTTTTGGAATACTGCATCTCTGAATGTGAGTGACTTTACCTTAACAAACTCAAAATGCGCATCAGGCTGATAGTAAAGGAACAGATGATGGATAGGCTAGCTTTGGTGGACGCGGCTCGGAATCGGCGATACCTCTTAGAGAAAACGCAGCATATCGTTGGTGGATTCGGAAAGGGCGTTGGAGAGCCACCAGGTGAGCCTAGCGTTTGCTCTTGGACTTTTCTCTTTTTCTCCTTCTTTTACACTTTTTGTAATTTAGCTAATTAGGACGCACAGATCTGCTGCACTCTTACTTCGGATTAGTATCGCTCGCATTTCAAGGTGAGCCGGGCCTTGAAAGTGTCGATCCAGCACTTTGTGCAAGTCATCGCACAGTACGACATTTGCATTCCCTACCCTGGTGGCAGGAGATGAAAAGGTGATGACGGTTAGCAATCAAGTCGCAGTTCGAAGGCGTAAACAAACAACTTCCATGTTATATACCCCAACGTTTATAATCATGATATTCAGTAGATTTGCCGGATGCATAACTATAAAACAATGTTATGCAATCGTCATACGATCAACTTCAGGTACATCTGGTTCATCCCAAGGGGGAAAAGTAAACTGGTGGATGGACTCCGTAGTTTAAATGAAACGCTCCTCACTAAGCTCAACACGGGCATGGCGAATGGCGCTAGAGAGGACTAGTGCGGTATGTCATAATAAATTAATTTCTTTTCTAAATTTATTAAATGTGATTCAGGGGTTAACATCGGACGAGTTAAGCCAGGTCCGCCTGAAGAAGAGAATATGATTCTTGAACTAAAGAAATTGAACAAAAGTTGGGGGGGAAATTTTTTTTTTTTTAAAAAAAAAAATAGTTTAAAAGAAAAATATACAAAAGAAAGTAGTTCCTATTGATTGTTTGTTTGGATTGGAGTGAGGCCTGGATGGACATGTGACATGATCCCTCGCATGGGAAATAAAAGTTTGGTCGGGAAAGAAGCATAATAAAGAATCAAAGTCAAAAAGAAAAGCAAAGAAAATCAAAATAAAATAGCACTACGGGCATTGATCCCTACGCTATGACGAATTAAAAGCAGGTTTATCATACTTTCCAATGACAAGAAACGGCCCACGTTTTTCACCTCAGCTAATGGAGAAAATCATAATAAAGTCTAAGGAACGAAGGAATAGTTTCCCATCGGCCCTGAACGAGCTAATTAACGGCTCAACTGCTTATGCAATGTCCTGTTGGCTGTCGTCAGAGCCTTTCCTTACTTCATCCCATACTAATTGTCCTCTCCTGTCACGCACCACACCACTCATATACACACACATATTTGCTTGTTTGATTGACAATCAAGCCCATTAGAAGTTTGCTTGGCTGCATCCATTTTCGCCATTGATATCTTTTTCTCCCTCTCTCACTCCGATCCTTTCGTTTCTTATCCTTCGAAGTCCGTTACATTTGTGGTATGCTTGCTTTTTTTTTTTTTCCTCTTTTTTCCTCCCCTATGTTTCTTTGTTCCCTCTGCTGTTCTCACTAGTACTCCAGAGCATTTCTGGGCAATATTTATTTTGCTGGATACAATTTCATAACAAACTAACATTGTATAATTCTGTCCTAGCTGATCGTCTCCCCGGCTGCGGCTCAACCCTTCTCCTTCCGTTTTGATATTGCGGTCCACTCCTCCGCGGCTTCCACCAGCTACGCCGCCCTACACTCTCTTTTGACCAAGACTCCAGGATAAACTCCATTGTCTTCCGATATTTCGCTCTGTGATATATTACAACTCTTGCTTGATACTACTCGGTCTGCCCTCGAGCTGTAGCGGTGGCTTTGCTCCTTGATTCTTAGCCTCCGCATCACGCTGCAGCCTACGTCTCGATCCCTATCTACTCAGACAGCCGCTCTTAATGTACTAGGTCCTTTGAATGGCAGCCGCACACGAATTACAATCGTCGGAAAACACTATACAAAGTTCAAGAAGCGCATCTCTCGTCTCCGCGGTGTATTTTAGAACGGGCGGGGATTATCTTAACACATGCCGCCTCCCAGGACGAGAGCGGAGGTTCAAGCCCAAAAACAAAAGGAGAAGGTTCGTTGCTTTCAACCTACCAGTTCAATAGCATTGTTATAGTTATGCGCCCATACGGATCATCTCCCTAGTCTTTCGCTGCAAATCCGTATATCCTTCATCATGCTTGTGTCCAAACATTGTTTACAACTGGTCCCCATCAATCTTATATCTTGCATGAAGCCTAGCTAACTAGTAACTACACCACAGCTCGCCCAGTCCTACCATGAACTTCTCGAGTAAGCGCCTACTTTCTCTCAACCTCCTCTAGTACGGTCAGACCTATAGTTACTCACGACCGCTTCTTTGTCAGGGAATTCTCATCAAAGGATCTTCGGAGTGTAGGGAACTATACTCTCGGAAGGCTAATTGGGAAAGGTTCCTTCGGCAAGGTTTACCTTGCGTCCCATAAACTCACTAATGGTTCCAAGGTATAATTGTACAACATACCTTGCACTTCAATGAAATTATTGACTGATTTAATTGGGAATAGGTTGTGCTCAAGTCCTCAAGTAGGGAAGATACGAATCTGCCGCGTGAGATTCATCATCATCGCCAGTTTTTACATCCTCACATTGCCCGCCTCTACGAAGTTATTGTAACAGAAAAGCTGGTTTGGCTGGTGCTGGAATATTGTCCAGGTATGGCGCGTATATCAGCGTATCACCACCCCACTGCTGACAGGCGCGGCTAGGTGATGAGCTTTATAACTACCTTCTTCATCATGGCCCACTGCCTGTCGACAAAGTGAAGAGGATTTTCACCCAACTTGTCGGTGCCGTGGCCTATGTTCACAGCAAGTCTTGTGTTCACCGGGACCTAAAACTGGAGAATATTTTACTAGACAAACATGAGAATGTCAAACTGTGTGATTTCGGGTTCACCCGGGAGTACGAGGGCAAAGCAAGCTACCTGCAAACATTCTGTGGTACGATATGTTATAGTGCCCCAGAGATGTTGAAGGGTGAGAAGTATGCAGGCGAAAAGGTCGATGTGTGGAGCTTGGGCATCATTTTATATGCCCTCCTCGCTGGGGAGCTCCCATTCGACGAGGATGACGACCAGGTTACCAAGACTCGGATCCTTACGGAGGATCCTGCTTACAATGACAGATTTCCGGATGATGCAAAAACTCTCATAAACTTGCTCTTATCAAAGCGCCCTCTGATTCGGCCGAGCCTAGACGAAATTTTGGCACATCCGTTCCTTGCCGAACATGCTCCGGAACAATTGGCAATATTGAAAATTCCACGACCTGCTCCTTTTACTACGCCTCTAGAGAGGACAACCTTGCAGCGGATGAAAAGTGCCGGCGTCAATATTGATGAAGTGATGGACAGCGTCCTTGCTCAGCGATGTGACCCACTCGCTGGTTGGTGGGCATTGCTGATCGAAAAAGAACAACGGAAGGAGCAAAAACGAGAGCGTAAGCGAAGGGAGCGAGAAGCTGAAGTGAAGAATATTCGTCGCTTGAGCGCGGCTAGCAGCCGGCTAGAGAAAATTTCAGCCGCCCTTGTCGAGGTTGATGAGGAGGGACATACCTCTCTGAATGCACCTCTCCAGGAGCGAGGTCGCAGGGATCGACGGAGCTTACCTTCGCAGTTTGCTGTGCCTGAGCTGCCCAGTCTACCAGAGCCAGTTTCCATCCAATCCCCAGCTTCCAGCAACCCACCTCCCGTTGACAAAGACTCTGTTCGGTCTGCTAGTTCTACCCGACACCGCCCATTACCACCTCCCAAAGATAGGAGACGATCAAGCAGGCCAAGTGCATTACATGTAAGCGCGTCTCAGCCCGAGCTAGCCCAACATAATGGAATCTTCAGGCGTCGCACAGGGCGCCGTCAGTATCCAATCCTCAGTCAACTGGCGTCCCTCAAACATTGGTTCGTCGAGTCTACAAAGAGAGCCAAGTCCCCCCACAGCAAAGTTCCTGGTGCACAAGGGACCCATCGCAAGTTTCTTTCAGACAAGCTAAGCCCATCTAAAGGGCAGGATACAGGGAAGAAATCTGCGCAGTCTTCTTCAGCCGTCCCTGCAACGGGAGAGTTGTCGACACCGACGCAGATAAAGCGCGCTTCCAATGCCAGCAGCCTGGCCCGCAGTAGTGCTTCCTATCCCAATCACCGCCACTCCTATCCTCGCCAGACTCGACCTTTAAGCACCAATGCAAGCCACCGGAACTCCTTGTCTCCCTCTCCAATCACGCCTAGGGGTTCCTACAGGCGATCTTCTGCTGGTCTGCGAGGCCGCAAGTCAACCTCATCTTCGATTTCCTCAATTCGTAGCATCCACCATACTCACACCCATTCAAAGGCATCATCTGTCTCGTCAAACAGTATCGGTTCAGCATCAACCCCGACAGCTCGGGCCTCCAGATCACCGCATTCTTCCGTCAAAGTTCTCCCCACTACGCCCAGCGCCTCGTCCCGTTTCCCCAGCAATATCCGCTTGGTTCGAGGCGTGAACAATGGGTACCACGAGGCGGATGATCCTAATGGTAGAATGACTTCAATATTCAACGAATCGGCACCTGCGCCCTTACTGTATTCACCATCATCAAGTCTTGTGTTTGCACGCCGCAAACGATCTGCGTTCAAAGGGCCTATGGTCCACACTGCAAATCTCATGGTATCTGGCGGCATGGCTGCCCCGGAGTTTCCCCGTAGTGGTGCTGCCGTCGCGGAGACCTCAAGCGCAGCTCGACCTGTGGCGCGAAAGAGCCAAATCATAGAAGAAGACATCGAGGAAGATGAGGATATCGAAGAAGTCGACGCATTTACAGGAACGGAAGAGGAGCCTGGATCGCCCACTGAAATGAAGACCGACGAACACACAGGGCTGGGGTGTGCTAATGACTTGTCTGGGCGAAGCTCTAAGCCTGTTCTTGCCCCAGCTCCTGACCTTGACACCAGTCCAATGCGTCCTCCACGCTCGTCTTCACTCAAGGCGTCGAAGTTGAAGGCAGCAGCTGGCAATTCTCCGAGATCAGTGCGTTCCGGGAAGAGAGCCATGACATAATATTAATAGTTGGAAGCATCGACTATCACTCTTTTCATTCTATCGGTTGGCATTTTCGGTTTCTTTATTGTTTTACAATTTATCTTATACCCCTGCGGCTATGCGGCGCTAGTTTCTTTGGACACTGTTCTTGGGCATCTCTGGTCTGGGTAAAAGTTGATGGATTTGAATGCTTTACAACCCGTCTCTGTGGCTTCCCACGACTTTCTTTCTCTTTCCCTGTTTTTCCTCTGTCCCTCCCTTTCACATCCTCCCAATTCCTGGATTTCCTTTTTATAGTTCAAGTTTACATTGCCATATTAAGCATGTCCATCCCTTCACATCGCGATCTCCTTTGCGTGTATCTTGTTTTTGCATTGTTTTCCTTCGTCAGTCCTGATTAACGTCTGCTGGGTCTAATTTGCTAGTCCTCGCGGGACTGGCCTTTTTTTTTTTTTTTTTTTTTGAGATATCCCCTATTACATACGCAATTATTCTTTCTTCTCGTTTCTTTTTTTTTTCTACTATGTCGTTGATTCGCATTAACGTGCCCCAAGGCTGGATCCCGGTTGGCACGGGGAATGATATTAATCCAGTGATCAATGCATTATTGTTCGAATAGACCTGGCATTCATCGTCGACTCCTTGCTTTACTGTGCGTCCGTCTTGTTTGCATATAGATAGAGTAGACGTCAAGCATTTATCTACCTTCATATTTTGAAGGCCTACCATTTCCATGAGCTCACGTTTCTATGAAACATGTAGAAGGCAGATTGATCAAGTCGTGGTGGTTCGAAATGTTCGACGATTGGCTCTATATCTCTTAAGCCTACGCTTTTGTTATAGTTTACTTATCTCTGTTAATATTGCAAGCGATTCTACTTTCAAGGTTCTGGAATATATCATTGGTATTATAAGACCATGTTAGTGAGAAAGAGTAAAGTAACTTTCGAAATCACCTTACAGCAACCTCCTTCGACTGACCCATGGTCCCAACCTCGACATCCTCCTTAGAAACACCACCCCCTGCTTGAACTCCAACATCACTTTCCCCAGTCTTATCGACCGTATCCCGGTACACAGGAACAAAATTTACTGCCACGGCATACGTCCACGCAATGATCATGAACATTGTCGGCACAATCATGGCAAATCCAGTATTATTCCGCATATCAGCTACATGCCCCAGGATCGGGGCCACAACGGCACCACCACTAACACCGGCGACGATGAAGCCAGAACCACGTTTGTAGTGGCGACCAAGGCCGCGAATACCCAGTGCGACGATTGTGGGGAAACAGACAGATTCAAAGAATAGAGTGAGGAAGAGCATTGCTTTGATTTGAGATTTGTTAGTTCATGCAACATGGCAAAGACGGTTTATGGCAATGGCACTAGGGGGCTACGTACCTAGGCCAGTCTGGTATCCTTGAGTTGTTGACGCTGCTATGAACGCCACAGTGCAGGAGAGATACACTAAGAATACCCAGCGAGCCTTGAAATATCTCATGAAGAAAGCACCTGCGAACCGACCGACGGCAAAGCCTCCTTGGGCACCGGCCAGGTATTTGGATGCGGTGGAATCCCCGGTGCCGGGCCACGTTTCGGTCACATAGTTGATGAAGTATCCGGCGATAGCCACTGTGTGTTTTAAGTTACGTTAGATTAGTTCATGCCGTTTGAATGAGATGCAGCAAGTTCTGCTAGGGAAAAAACAAATATTCTACTCACCCTGGGCACCGGTATAGGTGAACTGAGCTAGAGTAGCATGGAACAGTTTGTATTGTTTCCAGAAAGGCTTATCCTGCTCGCCAGCATGGGTGGAGGCAACCTGGAACGCCATATCCTCATCTGTAACTTCAGGGATGTTTGAAACGAAAAAAACCCCGGCAAGAATAAACACAAAGATGCCGATAGCAAGGTACACCCATTGTACACTTTTGAGGGCATCTACGTCGTCACTGGTATCGGTGAAGAACACATACGATGCTAAAGCCGGGGCGACGCAAGTTCCGATTCCATTGAAAGCTTGTGCGAGATTGATTCGAATCTCGGCATACTTCGGTGGACCACAGACTGCACAATAGATTTTAGTGAGTGTGACTTTGGCCAAGCGTGCACCCCTCCGAGATGAGAACTTCGACGTACGTACCGGCAAGATATGGGTTGGCTGCTGTCTCGAGAGATCCCAAGCCCGAGCCGATGACGAGAGTTGCAGCGCAGAACCCTCCAAATGAGCGATTTAGGCCCGCGGGCCACATGCAGAGGGCGCCAATACCGTAGAGGACCAATCCCATAATGAACACAGACTTGTATCCAAAATGACGCAGCATATAGTTCGCATATCCTAAGGATGCCAGCGGATAGGCCCTAGTCTCATGAACACAATATTTCTACTCGAATTATATGCGACATACCCAAAATACGCAGCCTGAAGACCAGCAGAACGAGTCCGAGTGATGCCTAGGGTGATCTGGAAGTGTTTATTGAGCGTATCCAGCAGTCCATAGGCGAACCCCTAACAGACCTTAGCAACCAGAAGTGGTATTTGTAAGACAGCAGCACTGCAATCTCACCCATAAAAAGAAGAGAATAGTTACGAGGCACAAGGGCCAAAGACTTTGGCGTAAAGTGAGGGTTGCTGCCGAGGTTGTCTTTCTATTGTCGACTTTAAACCCAGATCGGGTCTGCAGGAAATGGAACAACCCCATTGTTGCAACAAAACAAAAACAAGAGCGATTCCTTCAAGGTGTAGGATAATTGATCATAATGGCTAAAGATCTGCGGACGGTTAATGGTGTCGCATCGATGTCCTTTTATATTCTCCCGCAAGATATATGATGGCAGGCCTGGGTGAATAAACCCTGTACGTGCATTCCCGGGTCGCAGACACAGACCCCGTCCAATGGTACCATCTCAATATATCCTACCTTGCTAAGGTCGTAGATCGAGTCATTCCTGGTAAGAAGGCCGCGAAGAGGGGCGGATGTTGTGGCCCTCATTGGGGGTAGAGAATAAAGTGATCCATCCTAGACTTTCACCCCGCAAAAGACAGCATCCAGTCCGGGGAAAAGATCGCCGGGTGAGTCCACCACTACTAGCACGAGAAGGCCATGTTATTAAAGGATTTAACTTCGGTTCAAAATCGCCGAAACATTCGCTGATGGCTCTTGGCATGAAACCTTCCAGTTGGGGTTTCATTTTCAATTGCTTCCCCCGCATGACTTTACCTTCTCAGGAAATGGTCTTGGTAATTCGCCCACGAACGGCCTTCACTCATTCAGTCTGTCCGTCAATTAGCCTAAACTAAGCTGGCATAATAATTGATGATCATACTAAGTAGCATATCGCTCTCTTTTATACCGAGAAAGAGAAACCGTATGGCTAGGAATGCGGCGATCCCCCTCACAGTCCCGTGAAAGGTGAGGAGACCCATGTCATGGAAGGATTGTCCCCGAAGCAAGGCTAGTCCAGGGTCGTATCGTACTAATTAGTAGTAAGTACAAGCAGGAAGGTAGTATTCTGTCTACATCCATCGAAGAATTCGAGAATCAAGTCACGGGAAATGCAACGTGACTCGGTTCTATCACACTAGGGCTAATCTGTGCATGAGATAATTTAATAGGGAGGGGAAGAAAGCACAGGTGAAAATGAAGGTAGAACCCAAAAGGAAAAAATCCTGATTCTTCTTTGCAATAGGAGTAAAATGGACTGACGACCCATAGGACGTAGCTTTGATGCTCCTGACTAATTCATTTCTTCATTGCTCTCTACCATGGAGAACATCTAACACGTTTCATACATGTCATGAGTGTCCAAGAAAAGAAAATGAAATCAACGACCCAAAAAGTCGATATCTATATCTATTGTGCCACCCACTCAACCTCACATACTACAACATCTATGCCCGCTTAGGCTTGGACGCAGCTCCATTCTGCTGACCCATAACCTTGGGGGTGGTGGTGTACTTCTGGCGCTCGACGAATTTAAGTACCTCATCAATGATTCTTGCAACTTATTAGCTAGTCAGAAACCACAATTAGGGTAAATGAAACTTACATAACGGGTGCGCTAATGGCCAAGACTGCCTTCCATTCAATCCAGTTTAGCGGCAGGATCGAGAACAGTCCCTGTAAAAATGGAATGTACAAGATGGCAAAGTGCAATGTCATCGAAAGGATGATAGCATAGACCAGCATCATGTTGTTCCAGAGAGCGAAAGTGAGCAGGGACTCGCTAGACGAAAGGGCATTCATAGCGTTCAGCATCTCGATTACTACCAAGATAGACAAGGAAACTGTAGAAGCAGAACGAGACATGTCGTTCGTAAACATCTCACAGCCAATCTCGGGGAACTGTGCGGAGCACTTGTGGAAATGAGACTGCAGATAGAGTCAGTACAGGGTAAAGCGTCCAAGAAAGAATCTTGAGGGTTGTCGTTGAGCTTACCAGTTGCCAGAACGAAATCTGGGGCCCTTCTGGGTTATAAAGGAACCACCAAACGTAGCCAAAGACGGTGGCAGCACCGACGTATGTGCCGATAACCAGGTATCTGAACAGTAGCCAGCCACCAACAAGGGGCTCATCACGCTTACGAGGGGGGCGTCTCATCACATCATGATCAGGCGGGTTGAATGACAGAGCAGTCGCAGGTAAACCGTCGGTGACCAAGTTCACCCACAACAACTGCACGGGTACCAATGCTTCAGGCATACCCAACGCCGCTGTCAAGAAGATCGACACCACTTCTCCAATGTTAGAAGAGATAAGATACCGGATAAACTGCTGAGTGTTGCTGTAAATAGATCTTCCTTCCTCAACAGCAACAGTGATGGTTGCAAAATTGTCATCTGCCAGCACCATATCAGCAGCCAGCTTAGCCACATCGGTACCGGTACCCATAGCTACACCAATATCAGATTTTTTCAGGGCAGGCGCATCGTTGACTCCATCACCGGTCATCGCAACCACATGGCCCAAAGACTGAAGGAGATCGACCAGCTTAGACTTGTGGCTGGGCTCGGTCCGAGAGAAAAGAGAGGCTGTCTTAACAGCCTCGAGCTTCTCGCTATCAGATAGGCCATCAAACTCCCTACCAGTAAAGCTCTTGCCGGCGAGATCTTCATCTTCAGCGAAGACACCAATCTGGCGGCAGACGGCCTCAGCAGTGTTTCGGCTATCACCGGTGATAACGATCACCCGAATACCAGCAGCAAGGCACTTCTTGATTGAATCAGCAACCTCGACACGCGGGGGGTCCAGCATGGCGGCAAGGCCAACGAGAGTCATGTTCCGTTCCAATTGAGCGTAATCATCAGAGGTCTGGGCGTTGCGCAGGAGAGGGTTGGCTCCCACATCATCAACACGGGCGAAAGCCATCACACGAAGGCCACGGTTGCCATATTCAACAATCTCGGCAGAAAGCAGGTTGGCGTGCTCTTTAGTGATAGGTACACGGGGTCCATCAGATCCCAGGAGAACATGGGTGCATCGCTCAAGGATGGATTCAGGAGCACCCTTGACCAAAAGGCTTTGATTCTTCTCCGTGCCAACAAGGACAGACATACTCTTTCGGTCGCGAGAAAACTCATAAGTTGCCTTCAGTGGCAGGCGACTCTCATAGTAAGCACTCGAAGCACGGAGCTTCTGAGATGCAGGTAGCTGAGATAATTTCATGTTGGTAGCGGCATCGTCAGTTCCAATCTTCTCAACCAGGACGCGCAAGGCTCCTTCGGTTGGCTCGCCGATACAGGAGTAGACACCACTCTTGGCATCGTGGGAGAGATTCGCACTGTTACAAATAGCCATTACCTCGGCCATCTGTCGGATAGTAGAGGAAGAAACCGCGAGATTTTGCAAGGCCTTGCCATTCTGGGAAAGTTTGCCCTCGGGCGCAAAAGTTGTACCTTCGACATCAATCTCTTGAACACCGTTGCCAGTCTTGTCCAGGTAGACAATCTTGTTCACACTCATCTGATTAGTGGTCAGAGTACCGGTCTTGTCTGAGCAGATAACGCTGCAACTTCCTAAGGTTTCCACGGAAGGGAGCGACCGAACCACCGCATTTTTGTTGGCCATCTTGCGAGTACCGAGAGCAAGACAAGTAGTGATTACAACAGCCAAGCCTTCAGGGATGGCAGCCACACCAAGAGAAACCGCAATCTTGAGGTAATATATAGCTCCCTTGGTCCAACCGCCGTGGGAGGGGTCGTTGAAATGCTCAATGTTGATCACCCACACCAAAATACAGATGACTGTGATCACTTTGGCAAGCATATCACCGAAATCGTTGATTTTCTGCTTCAGTGGTGTTGGCTCCGAAATCTGAGACGTGATGCTATCATGAATATCACCGATGGCAGTTGATCCGCCAGTCAGAACCACCAGGGCTGTAGCATGTCCATTGACGACTGTGGTACCCGAGAAGAGGATGTTGGTCTGGTCTTGCTTGACAGCCTGTTTATCGCGAATGGCGCGAGTATCTTTCCCAACGCTCTCGCTCTCGCCCGTCAGGATAGCCTGGTCGACCCGGAAACTGTTGCTATGGACTGCGATCAGTCGGCAGTCGGCAGGTACACGATCTCCAACAGCGACATGGATTACGTCTCCAGGAACCAGATCTTCGGCCTTGATACGCTGGGTTTTCCCATCACGAACTACAGTAGCCTCATTCGCGGAATATTCTTGGAGCGCGGCAATTGCTTTCTCCGCGCTGGTTTCCTGCGTCACGCCAACGACAGAATTGAGGATGAGGATCGTCAGGATCTGTGGTCACAGCAAGGGTTAGCGGCGCTTTTCGACCACCTGAATGAACCAAATATGCTCAGGACTTACCACAACCGGGTCAACAAAGGCAGTCCAATCGTCTCCTTCTTCAAAAAGAGCCAAGACAAAAGACAGCGCAGCCGAGCCTAGAAGAATGAGGACCAGTTGATCTTTGAACTGTTCCAGGATGAGCTCCCAAAGGGGGGTGGGAGGGTCTTCCGCAAGCGCTGCACGATGGATGAGATTGAGTCAGTTTGTGCTCTCATTCGAACGTTGGATCTATGTGACTAACCATTCGGTCCATGTTTTTGCCTAGATTTCAACGCCTGTTCTTGCGATAGACCCAAATGCTCTGCAACACTAAAGTGCTCTAGCACCTCTTTTGGGGAATAGAGGTAGGAATGCTCCATGATGAACCACAACCGTCAAGGGTTTGACTAGGGTTGGGAGCAAGGGGAGGAGGGAAAGAGAGGAGAAAGCCCTGGAGAAAAGTCCGCAGATGCTAGAGATCAAGACATGAACGCCAAGTGGCCGGATGGTTGGTAACGAAACGAGTAATGGTAAGGTACTATCGGGAAGAATCTAGAAGAAGGGAGGGAAAGATAGCCGTGCCCCAAAGAGTATTGCGGAGAAAAGAAATTGGCAACCTTTATTTTTTAATTATTCCGCCTTGATAGATAACAACACTGTTTAGTCAGATAATAACAATTGTTATAATTATAACAAAGGTGATAATGACTGGGAAAGGGGGGGAACAAAATAACCTGGAAATTGGCCTCCGGGTTAAGACGTGCGTTTGGAAGCCGAGAGAGTGGATAAGTACCTGGAGTCAATAATAATTTATCGGTGTCCCTGTATTCAAACGTGTTCTTTTGCGGTCTGCTGCCATGGGTCTCTGGATCCATTGGTCCCGTTTCGCCGCCGCAAAGACTGTCTGGTCGGTAGTGGACCAAAATAAGCCTACAGGGCTGAACGGTAAAATAACCACATATGGCGGAGCATGACCGCTACTTCGCTGCGTCAGCTAGCTTCTCATCGCTTCCCACGGGCAAAGCCAACACACTGCAAACTTGGTAGTTATTCATACGAATCTCATTATCCGACTAGATTCAAGGGTTATAGTCGGGAATATTTCATGGTAGGAAATAGTCTAGACGTATGGAGGGCGAGATATGGACGCACGTACGGTACAATACTGCTGTAAAATACGTGTATTGCATCGGGCCGATCTCCACATTCAGAAATGTTGATGCCTTGCCCCAAGACCCATGTTCGGTCCTGGAAGAGGATGGATGGGGCCCTTGCCCTGTGCTAGAGTATGCATACGGAGTACTAAATGGTTAACCACTGCAGACTCCAGAGTACGGATACGGTGTACGGCTATGTGGGCGGTACATTGCTAGTCCTTGTCTGACCTATCTCAAGGGACTCGTCTCCAGAGAAAAAGTCCCCAATATCTTGCCACCTTCCAAAGACTGGTAACTAATATCCTTCGGTATGACAACCGCACGGCATATCATAAATTGGACTTCGTTTTAGCACCCTTTTCTTCTCTTTCTGAGCTTGCTTATTCATCTACCACGGTCGGTTAACTACTCTTGCCAAATGGGCTGCGTCTATGCCTCAATATGTCGAGTCTCAACTGCCTAGAAGAAGTGTTGTATGTATGTACGATTGAGAAGGTATATAGACACAGCCCAACAATCATCAATTCATTCTTTGTCGACCCTATTGAGAGAGGCAGTCAGTATGGGCTTCAGTCCCAGCAATTGATCTTTGCACATATACATGAGGTTCACTCTCATAGTTAAGGCCATTGTTAACGATACATACACATACAACCCAACGAGGCGGATAGTGCTATAGTGCCGAATGAACTGGAGCAACTCACGCTGAGGCGCACCTGAATCAATTTGATCTAACTTCACATATCAGGTAATAAAGTAGATGAATAATAAGTGGATGCGCCATCGTGCAGTCTACTAGTTCAGGATGATGAGGGTCCTTTCATGCCTCAGGCAGCACGGTCCCTGTTGGGCCTTGCTTGCCTCAGGCGCGCCTGGGGGTACCCTCCGGCCAAACATCACAAACAATAGGCCACCCGCCTCTCGCTAAAGCTGGCAGGCCGTCACCTCACCGGTTCATCATCTGTTGCTTGAGGATCGCATCTGTCAAACCTTTAGTGAATTCCACATCCCCATTCCATCTGTGTTGTCTTCTTGTCTTCTTCTTTCCCCACACCTCTTTTCTCTTCTCCTATCGACTCCTTTCAATCACCGTACTCTGTCTTATAATCTTCCTATCTGTACCCTATCTTCCAGCATGACTTCTGAGGTATGTTGTTGCAGCCTGACCCCTCCTCCTCTATTGTTGTCTGTCCTCGCGCTGCTGCGATAGCAGCTGGACGTGTTGATGCATGCATCTCACTCTTGAAAACCCTCCATGGTCTTATACATTGTATTGCAATAAAGTCAAACAATACTAACAATACTTCGTCATGGACAGCGTGAGAAGTAAGGGTCCAGACCGACTCCATCAACAGCAGATTACAGAGACACTAACCCCCTCTCTCTAGCAAGACATTCCTCGCCCGCCTTTGCGAGCAGGCTGAGCGCTACGATGGTAAGATCCCATGGGTGGCCCTGCTTGGACCTCTATACCCTATATGCTAATTCTCTCTTTTTACAGAGATGGTCACGTACATGAAGGTGAGTAGCAGCCTACTAAACGCTTGTTATATCAATCATCTGAGACGCGATCGCTAATGATCTAACAGGAAGTCGCCAACGTATGTATTCATTTCGCTTTACACCCCTGAGATCGCCTCCCCCGCACCCCTTTACTTGCCTAGCTGACCCCGCATCAGATTGGAGGCGAGCTTACCGTCGATGAGCGTAACCTTCTCTCCGTTGCCTACAAGAACGTGGTCGGTACCCGCCGTGCTTCCTGGCGTATCATCTCCTCCATTGAACAGAAGGAGGAGTCCAAGGGTTCTGAGCAACACGTCTCGATCATCCGTGATTACCGACAGAAGATTGAAACCGAGCTGGAGAAGGTCTGCCAGGATGTTCTTGACGTTCTCGACCAGTCCCTCATCCCCAAGGCCGAGACCGGCGAGTCTAAGGTTTTCTACTACAAGATGTAAGCCCAATGGTGTCGGGAACGCTCCATGAATGATGTGGTTAATCAAATTCAATGAATAGGAAGGGCGACTACCACCGTTATCTTGCTGAATTTGCTTCTGGCAACAAGCGCAAGGTTGCTGCTACTGCTGCCCACGAGGCCTACAAGGTATGCTCGATGATTGTTCTCTCGTACTGAAGCCCCTACTTACAATCTGGACTAGAACGCCACCGACGTTGCCCAGACTGATCTCACTCCTACCCACCCCATCCGCTTGGGTCTTGCCTTGAACTTCTCCGTGTTCTACTACGAGATCCTGAACTCGCCCGATCGTGCCTGCCACCTTGCCAAGCAGGCTTTCGATGATGCCATCGCCGAGCTCGACTCGCTCTCGGAGGAAAGCTACCGTGACAGCACCCTGATCATGCAGCTTCTGCGTGACAACCTTACCCTTTGGACATCTTCTGATGGCCAGGAGGCCGAGGGTGCTGCTTCCAAGGAAGACAAGCCTGAAGAGGAGTCTGCCCCTGCTCCCGAGGATAAGGGTGAGGAATCCAAGCCTGCCGCCCCTGAGTCTTAAAGCGACAAATTGGACGTTTTCTTTTGTATCAAAAACAGCGTTGTGCGCTCGGCGCCTATTTGGAGAGGGTTCGGATTCTCCCTGGAAGTGTTTACGATGGTCTGTTTTAGCTGCGTGACTGGTTTGGACCGGCACGTATCTTCCACTTGTTCGGGATCGTGTGGGTCGGCCGGCGGAGTTTGATATTTGGAGAGCGAAGAAAAGGGGCTGAGCGGAATTTATCTCTCTTTTACTGTTTCTATTCCCACCCCCAGAGCAAGATACAATGTGCTATTCCACCCCCCCTTTTCTTCTTTTTTTCTTTTTCCCCCTTATTTTCTGTGCTTGCTTGCCCGCGTTATCTCTCTATTATTTTCTCGTACGTCATCCCATAAGCCCCGCGAATATTTGAATTTAAACTTAGTAGTCGTTCTATTCAGAGGCGTGCGGCTTTAAGAGGGTCGGCGCCCTGAAGGATGAAACATACCCCGTCTTTTTAATTCGATGTTACCATTTTTAGAAATACCATGCACACTCGTGGTTCAATGATCGCTTTCATTGCAGTCTCAGCCTGTTTCTCATGTACTCTCCCTTTGTTCTTGTTCTCTAATACATGCCTCAAGCTGATAACGGCTCCGCCCAGTAATTGCTTGCTGGAAGACATGCAAAACACTTGATCTACAAGGTATATGCTCAGTGCTCACCAGCGAACTGTTAGATACAAAGCTAGTTGAATACGGTTGTCTTTAGCGACAAGTGTATAAACATATGCAAAGTCCCGTGTTAAGAACGATTTCCAGGTTCTATCTGTCTGAAGAGTCTCTATCCATCTTCAACTTTTGTGTCGCTCAACTTGACCGAAAAATAGCATTCTAGGGCAGGGCAAGTAACGCACGTCTCTATCGTATTAATATATACTACCAGAAGAGGAGGCAAGGAACATAAAGAACAGAAACAACGCGAAGGAACTGTTTAGGGGCGGATATACAAGAGTCGGCAGGCATCATGTCATACTGACAGGGAACTGGCAACTATGAGGGCACGAAAGGAGGCAATAAAGAAATGAGATGAAACGAAAATAGTAAAATGAGATGGAATGATCAATCACATGAAATCGTCATCACCCAATCCATCATCACCATTGTCATAATCAGCATCAAGCTTGTTATCTCTGGAAGTAACCAGCGACACCTTCGTCTTGGCCGCCTTACTCTTCTTGTTACCCTTGTCTGCGGCGCGCTCCTCTCTCATCTTTTCGTTACTCATAGTAGTCATAGCACTAGCGATTTTCTTGACATCTGCGCTGTTCAGCTCCTTGACAAGCTGCTTAGCGAACTCCTGCGCCCACAGGGAATAGTGAGGCTTCTTTGAATGGGGAGTCAAGAGCGGGATAAGGGTGGAAGTCAAACGAGCGAACTGGTCCTTAGTGGTAGGCTTGAACAGAGGCATGGCAGAGAGATCGACGGCCTGCGTCGGGTCGGCCGAGTCACTTATAACGATAGCCTTGGGAGCTCCGCGGTTCCGGTTGAGGTCGATATCACCGAACAGATCCTCAGCGTGCTTGAGATCGGAATCCTTCTGGGCGCGGCGCAGACGGGCTCTCTTGTCGGCATCGTCCTCCTCGCTCTCGGAATCTTCCTCCTCGGCCTTCTTCTTGCGCTCCTCCTTGTGCTCCTGTATACGCTGCGACTTGCTCTTCTTATTTGCGGCAGCTTCGGCGTCGGCCTTAGCCTTGGCTTCGGCCGCCTTGGCTGCCTTTTCCCGCTCTACTTCGGAGTCTTCGGCGGCGTCCCAGGAGTCGAGAACCTGTTGAATATTCCAGCTGATTAGCAGATTGTGCCTCCGGGCGATGGTCATATGTGCTATATATAGTGGGGTAAAATAGCAAATAAGAAAAATTAACCCACCTCCTCTTCTTCTTCATCGTCAAACCTGCGACGGGGAGCCACAGGAGGAGGGGAGCCACTGTCCTCCTCATCATCTGCGAGAGAAAAGTGGGAACTGTCAGTAAAGTGTTCTGGTAAAAAAAGCAGACTGTATGCAGAAGGCCACAAATTTCAGATATCCTTACCCCACCGTTCGGGCGCCATGGCTAGTGAAGATTGTATAAAGTGGTAAAAGCTTCAAACTTCTAATGACTCGATAACAGGGCGAGTAAGTGCCGTGTATCTCAGCAAGAGGGCCGTCGTGGGTGAATCAATAACCCGAAGGCGAGTTTGATGTGGGCGAGTGAGCCGTCCCTCACAATAACTTCACGATAAAACAATCTGGTGGTGGGGTTAGTAGCGGTCACGTGTCCCGATACCGTTCACGCCCATTCATCAGACATCCGGTGTCAACATCATTATAAAGTATATATCTATATTGGTACTATCGCTACTAGGGACGGTCTACATTAGAGGTTTTATTTATTTATTTAAATTTTTTTTTTTTTGAATTGCACTTTTATTGCATTACTGCCACTATATCTGGCCTAATCGAATCGTCATCATAAATCTTAAAAAGAATATCATCTGTAGTACTGTAGAGGCTGCAAGTAGCGGGAACCCGGGTATGCAGTGCGGTCCCGAGTCCAACCATCTTTCGATAATGTGCAAGGTTGGTTGGTGGACGTCATATAATCATACGGTTCATTTACAGGTTAACAGAGGTGCGGAACTTTTCGCCAGCATAGACGGCGTTGGCACCAAGCTCCTCCTCGATACGGAGGATCTGGTTCAGCTTAGCCAGACGCTCGGAACGGGCAGGAGCACCGGTCTTGATCTGGCCAGAGCGGAGACCGACAGCGATATCGGCAATGGTGACATCCTCAGTCTCACCGGAACGGTGGGAAACCATGACACCCCAGTTGTCGGCGTAGGAGTCCTTGGCAGCCTGAATGGACTCGGTAAGGGTACCAATCTGGTTGACCTTGAGAAGAAGGGCGTTGCAAGCCTTCGTCTCGATGGCCTTCTTGATACGCAAAGGGTTGGTGACGGTCAAGTCATCACTGTGGAGTTCATGTTAATTCGGTTCGAATATGACACTGAATGGAAAAGGATTACATACCCAACAATCTGGAAGTCAGAAGTCTTGTAGAAGTAGCTCCAGGCCTCCCAGTCGTCCTCAGCGAAGGGGTCCTCAATGCTGACAATGGGGTACTTGCTGGCAAGAGACTTGTAGAGGTCGGCCAGCTGCTCATAGGTGAGCCACTTGGAGGGGTCGCTGTCGGGGTTCTTGAAGTCAAGATCGTACTTCTCGACATCAGCCTTGTAGAATTCGCTGGAAGCAACGTCCATGGCAATCTTCATCTTGCCAGCGTAACCGGCCTGCTCAATGGCCTCGGTGATGAGGTCAAGAGCCTCCTCAGCAGTCTGGATATCGGGAGCAACGCCACCCTCGTCACCAACATTGCCAGCAGACTGGCCGTACTTCTCCTTGGCGAGAGCCTTGAGCTTCTGGTAGACCTCAGCACCCTGGCGGAGAGCCTCGGAGAAAGAAGGGGCAGCGCTATCAGCCATGTTAGTATAGCTGCAGGAGAATGGGGGCACGTTATCTGAGCCCGGGTACTTACGAAGGAACAATCATGAACTCCTGGAAAGCCAGACGGCCACCAGCGTGAGAGCCACCGTTCAGAACATTCTGGAAGGGGACAGGAAGCACATAGGGCTTCTTGGTACCAGCGAGGTCGGAGATGTGAGCGTAGAGAGGGACACCCTTCTCAGCAGCACCAGCCTTGGCGATGGCCAAGCTGACACCGAGGATGGCGTTAGCACCGAGTTTAGCCTTGTTGGCAGTTCCATCAAGCTTGTTGAGGAACTCGTCGACCTTGGACTGGTCCTTGACATCAAGGTTCTCCTTGATGACGGCGTCGGCAATGATCTTGTTGACGTTGTTGACAGCGTTAAGGACACCTGTTCTCCGTCGGTACAATCAGCCTCCGTTGCACCAGACAGGCATTCGGGGAGCATCTAATACATACCCTTTCCACCCCAGTGGGTCTTGTCACCGTCACGGAGCTCGTGAGCCTCGTGCTGGCCTATAGTTTGACCGTCAGTATGTCAGAACGAGGACAAGTACATAGAATGCTCTGTTGTCAAGTGGGGTCACTAACCAGTGGAAGCACCAGAGGGAACGATAGCGCGGTGCAAACCAGTCTCAGTGACAACGTCCACCTCAACGGTAGGGTTACCGCGGGAGTCGTAAACAGAGCGGGCGTGGATCTTGGTGATAGGCATTTTGACGAGCTGAGGAATTGTTCAGTCGACTAGTTTGGAGGACGGAAGAAAACAAAAAAAAGGGAGGAGGAACGACAGATATAAACGAAGGGAATGGAAAATCAAAACAGTTCTGGATCGGTGTTGGGAGGAGACTAGCAGCGGGGGTTGTGTTCACCGACGACCCAAAAAGAATGATCGGATGGTTCAGTGACGGAGTACAAGGTAGAGGCAGTGGTGGGGAGATCCAATTTCAGTTGACCGAGAGTCAGGAACAGTTACAACGACATTCAGGGAGATGTCAATTAAGATAACACGATTGTGGTATAACAGAGAGGCACGATAGAACGATCATCGAGTTTCCTGATCGTCCTCGTCCTCCTCTCTCTTTGCAATGGAGGGGTCATGATTACCGTAACAAAATAGTGGGATGGTGGGGTAGAAGGTAATGATCTCAGTGGAAAACAAAACAACCAAACTCACCTATGGGAGATGACGATAAGACTGAGTTAGGAGGCTAATAATGGGACGGTCGTCGTTGGAGAAATGGGGTAAAAAATAAAAAGATAAATAAAGAAGAAGGAGAGAATTAAATAGGTGTCAACAATTAAAGTTGGAAAGGTCTAGTTCTTGTACCATCCTCGTCCTCTTCCCCGGCAAAAGCTCTCGACCTCGTCCTCCCGAATCTTTCCAACGAAATGGTGGGGCTCATCAGTCTTCTGTGACTCTCGCTGGCTGAGCTCTCTGTCAACTGTGCCAACCCTGCCGCGAGATCTTCCGCATTCCCTCGGGGTAAAGCGGGTAAATTGATGCTTGCCCTCCATAGTTACTAAAAGATTCACATTCTTGTTTCTGGGGTACCTTGGTAGTAGATCATTCTATGTATACTATGCCTTGGTTAGAACCGCATGGTTGTCGACAGGTATACTAGTCCAAGTGTATATATGTATGTATGTATGTATGTATGTATGTATGTATGAATGGATGGACAAAATATCATTCTAGAGGATGGTAGGTAAAAGCTACTATAATCCTTGATGTCCATTGGGGGTTATTCCCTTGTCCGGGTACACTCTGTTGTCCCGAAGGGTTCACGTCAGTTGATTCAAGTGTCTTTTGAGCACTGGAGACTGTCTGGAAATTTCCATATTGCGTAATGACGAAAACAGAGGTTACCCGCTGACACCTTGATGCCTGAGCAACCCGGATAATAGATACTGCGCAACATCATTCAGGCATCAATTCCATGTGACCTGGCTGGGTGTCCCGTATTGGGGTCAGGTGACCTCATGGCTTTGGTGGCTCCGTAAGCTCCTCGACAGCTTGCCGAGCTGATGATAGCATTGAGATCAGATACCCCCAACGAGCCATCCGCGGTTACCATCTCTGCCATCTCTATCTCTCCCGCGTATATTCCTATTCCATCCTCTTCTGATTTTATAAATCTCTCTTTGGATCGTTCACGTCGGATCATCTGTGAGGTCTCACAATGAACGGCGCTGCTGACCCGGAGAGAGAGCAGGCGCTCGAGGACTACAAGAAGAGCCTGCTGGAGCTCCGAGAATGGGAGGCCAAGCTCAAATCGCTTCGGATGGGAATTAAGGACTTGCAAAGAGAGTTTGATATCTCGGAGGAAAATATTAAGGCCCTACAGAGTGTGGGTCAGATCATCGGTGAAGTGTTGAAGCAGCTGGATGAGGAGAGATGTACGTTTATTCGGTGGTTACTCCCACAATGCTTCGTTTCCAACATAAAACACTACATATAACTTATGATGAATGGTGGACTGCTTCAATCTACAGTTTACATAGGCTAACTTCAACCCATAGTCATTGTTAAGGCATCATCCGGTCCCCGTTATGTCGTCGGTTGCCGTTCGAAGGTCGATAAGTCGAAACTGAAACAAGGGACTCGTGTCGCCCTTGATATGACAACCCTGACGATCATGCGGATGCTGCCACGGGAGGTCGACCCATTAGTATACAACATGTCTTTGGAGGACCCGGGACAAGTCAACTTCGCTGGTATTGGTGGCTTGAACGAACAAATCCGAGAGTTACGAGAAGTGATCGAGTTGCCGCTCAAAAACCCCGAGCTTTTCCACCGAGTTGGTATTAAACCACCCAAAGGTGTCCTTCTTTATGGGCCTCCTGGTACAGGAAAGACACTGCTGGCACGTGCTGTGGCAAGCTCTATGGAGACCAACTTCTTGAAAGGTGAGCGCATTATGTTCATTGAGAATACAGGACGCCTTTGCTGATCATTTGAAGTTGTGTCGTCTGCTATCGTCGACAAGTACATCGGTGAATCTGCACGGTTAATAAGAGAAATGTTCGGGTACGCCAAGGAGCATGAGCCTTGTATTATATTCATGGATGAAATCGACGCTATCGGTGGTAGACGGTTCTCTGAGGGTACATCCGCTGACCGTGAAATCCAACGGACGTTGATGGAGCTTCTTAACCAATTGGATGGGTTCGATTACCTCGGGAAGACGAAAATCATCATGGCTACGAACAGACCTGATACTCTTGATCCCGCTCTGTTGCGAGCGGGTCGTTTGGACCGCAAGATTGAGATTCCTCTGCCCAATGAAGTTGGTCGCTTGGAGATCTTGAAGATCCACTCCAGTACAGTCCAACTCGAGGGTGATATTGACTTTGAGAGCGTCGTGAAGATGAGTGACGGTCTTAATGGAGCAGATCTGCGTAATGTTGTCACGGAAGCGTATGTTATTTCATTCCTACTCTTTTGTTTGCGGTCGATGTTTCTGACAATGAACACAGTGGTTTGTTTGCCATTAAAGACTACCGAGACGCTATCAACCAAGACGACTTCAACCGGGCGGTGCGCAAGGTGGCGGAAGCTAAGAAGCTGGAAGGCAAGCTGGAGTACCAGAAGCTTTAGTGACAATGATTTCTCCGAGGATGACATTACAAAATCGGTCATGTTTAGATAATATGCAATCGGTTTCACGAGCTTTTCACGATGCTGACTTTATTTCAAGAGAGAATACACCCCGTAGGATGGCGCG